CAGAGCGCGTACGTGTCACAGCTTCTGGACTACAAACCATAGGCCGACTGTACCAACCAATCAGAAATCGTGCGGCTCAGACAGAAGCTGAACAACACCAGAAATTCTAGCACGCGATTGGCAGAAGCCTGGATGACCAACGAGCATGTTATGTACATACTATTTAATTCCCCTGATTTCTTTCAGTAAACGAACTGCTATTCCTTTGGCCTTTTCTTCGCTTCTCGGTTACGTGGGATACTGCCGTGTTGGTACCAATGTGATTCAATGCTTACGTGGCGTCTGTGATGTCTAATACCTGATTTGTATTTCGTGATCAGTGCGTACTACATCTATTATACAAATACAGACTTGTAGAAACTCTATTCAATTGAGTGGAACAAATTTGTTCCCCAGACGCACTACGAGAATACCTGGAGAAGTTTTTCTACGGAACGGTTACTCATAAAGATCCATTGATATTCGCGGCAAACAACCTTAAGAAAGTAACCTTTTTTCAACTATACTTTTAAAAAACAATAATATGAACCAGATTTCAAAGGCGATTCCTTCTGAATGATGTGCGCAAAAGTCGAAATCAACTCTGAACGGCATTATCTCAGTTGATCAACTTCGACTCCTGGGCATGTGTAAAAGTGGTTGACAAGCCGGTTCTGTTTCTCACAAACTGTTTACCAGTTGCAATGACGCATACTTAGGCAGAACAAACCGTTAGCGAGCACAACGAATAGCTGAACACATCCCAAAGTGGCTGGTGAATTCGATGACGATACCCATACCCCAAAATCAGGCGGTCATAAGGTACCCCGAGCCTTCCATGGTAGAACAACACAATGCAACCAAACACAATTGACCCCACTTCCTCTTTTAAACCGCTGGCAGACAGTGAGGCGTCATTACATTTGTTCATTTTGCGCTCGCCCAAAAGCTGCGGGCGCAATCAGTTCATTTGCCACGGAGTTAACCTTTAGTTATTAATTTCACTATGCTCTGTCTATCTGCACAAGTCCGTTCGATCGGAATTATCAACCCAATGTGCATATTCATTTTACGTCAGCCATTGAGGAAATTAAACGAACTATTGACGTTTCACGATACGCTTCTTTTATCGATCTTTATTCTGGACACAGACAGGCCTGTTACTCACAACAGTGACGTCTAACCCTGGCATAACTTTTTAAACAGATCTTGGTCAGCGCGGTTCATCTGCGTTTGCTTATTCACTCGGTTTCATCGAACTGTTTGTGCGCTGGCACTTGCTTGCTCGCCGGCTAGGTGTGTATGTTGTGCTGCGTGTAAACGAACTGCCTATTTCAGCGAATGATTGTTTGCTGGTTTGACCGAAACACAACACGGTCCAAATTCCCAAATGGACAAGATTACTGCAGAGGACCGCAAGGTTTAAAGTAAGTGGTCCAAAACGTACGATCCAATCATAGGTGGACAGAGCGAGTTTTCGCATTCTGCGCAACCACGCTGACAGTGATGGAACAAATCGCGTGGAAACAAGTGACGATTAGCAAACTTGACAGTTTCCGTCATCGTGTGCTAATTCTTAAACACAAAAGTAGTCAGAAGAACATCTTTATTTTTGTCCTTTTCCACGGGGGGAGGGTGAAAATATGAAAAAATAAAGGAGAATATACGTTCAGATATGTGAAGCGCTAAGTCAGTTGTTGATAAAGTACATCTTCCCCCACCAGCAAAGAATGGCGAGGATAACACAAGTGAAGAAAGTAGCCGGGACAAGCATTATGAAATACAATATGTCCCAAATATCCGGCATTATCGAACTGGCATATCCATGTACTGAAACAAAAGGGAGAGAGAGAAAGTTGAGACCAGAAGCCATGAAAAACCAAAACAACACTAACAGTCACCGTACTCGCGACAGACATCCAGGTGTAATGATGGTTGCAACTTCAACGCAGCACGTAATAGCCAACTTGCGCTATCATCAGAGATCGTACATCGAATTCCGCGTTTAATTTTCAGTACTGGTCAACCAAAAACTCATGACTTCGCAGTGATCGATGATTTGTTCCCGCCAATACAGCGAATACCGGTACCCCGGTAACTTGTAAACTTTGAACCGCGTGCCAGTCTTCTGGTTCGACAAGTGATGGGCCCATGAACTCATGACCTTGGTGACCATCGTTCACTTACTGTGCGAGGCGTAAAGATAGTTTCGAATGGGTATCGTCTAAATTACCTGAGATATGACTAATTTTCATCTTAAATGGTGAGCTATCGAGTGCACTTTCATGAAAGCACTCGGATTGGGATTAATAGCACTCCCCCCTCCCTCTAGCCTCAGGGACACAGCTTCTAACATAGATCTGCATAGTCCTAATCAAAACCCTTCAGGTTTCTCCATAAAGTAATGAATGCTATCATCATCGTACCGAACTGGGTTACTGTGGGCAATTTGATTATCGAGAAAAAAATGGGGACGGGGGGGGGGGGGGGG